CTGAAGCCTTCAAGGTAGCAAAAGATTAGATTGTATGGAGGCCAGAAGCTTTCAGGCCTAACCTGGGAATAGTTAGATAGAAATGGTCTGGGATCAGCCAAAGCATGTATTCATAAAACTTGGGTATGAATCTCATCTTATCCCCTCATCTGAGGAAATAAATACAACATTAACAGATGATTAATCAAAGTATCAGACTTCTTCCAGGACCTCTGTTGGAACTAGAATATAAATTTTGTGGGTTTTTGAATGTGTTATTTCCTTTGTAAGTAAAATTTTATTAATTTCTAAAATAATTTTTGAGCAACTATTTTGTGCCAGGAAATGTCAGAAATCAGAAAGGTAAATAGTTCTTGAAATCTTGATATTGAGGTTCTTGTAGTTCTTGTATACTAATATACTAATATATATATATTAGTATATATATATATATATATATATATATAGAGAGAGAGAGAGAGAGAGAGAGAGAGAGAGAGAGAGGGAGAGAGAGAGAGAATTTGGCCCACAGTGTTTGAAGAGAAATGACTAATTATGTTTATATCATATCTGACTCCCTTCATATTTTTCAAAGCATAACATCAGAATACAGCCTCATAAATATGAATTGACCCAGAATTTTCACTTCAGAACCCTGGTATATGGTGTTGTTATGAACATGGACATCTAGATATATCTAAAAATTACCTATTTCATACCCTAAAGATACATACTAAGAATAAGAATTTCTGTGTCTTATGGTAGGTCTATTTCACATTTTCTAAATGGTACCCATATTGTTTTCCATAATTTTGTGTCATATTACATTCCTACCATTAATATAAAATAATTTTGTTTTTGTTACACATTTTTCATCACTTGTTACTATTTAACAAGCAATCTTTCTGTTCTTCTATATGACAGCCTACACTAAAGACACATATAACACTTTCAGTGCATAAAATAGTCATATTCTCTCTTACCTCTTTTGGCAATTTCCAGTGTTCTCCCTGGCCATTCTTAATCTTTAGAAAGTCTAGAGCAGTATTTATCAGCCTTCTTAATGCTGCTACCTTTTAATGCAGTTCCTTCTTTTGTGGTGATATCCACATATAAAATTATTTTCATTGCTACTTCACAACTGTAATTTTGCTACTGTTATGAGTTACCTGTGTTTTCTGATGCTCTAATGTGACCTCTGTGAGAGAGTTTTGACATCTAAATGGGTCACAATTAACAGGTTGAGAAGTGCTACTCTAGACTGTTAGATGCTGACTATGGGATCACTTATCATCCTGTCATTCCTTTAACTTTATAGGCCCCATATATATTATTGCAAGTATATGTGCATTTTTGTTTTCCACCAGCAAGGGTAAACCCCATGACATCACATACTGTAAATGTAATACTCACTGTTTAGCTTCCAATATCTTTCACAGTACATTGCATACCATATTACTAAATAAACAAGTAAAAATGCTAGCGTTATATTAACCCAACAAAATTTTCACATCTTAAAACTAGTGATTACACACTCAATACGAATTACTGATGAAAAATAACTTCACATACATAATTCACATATACAATTTCATAACTTAAAATAAATTTTCATCATTTTACATGTTTATTTATTCATTATGTATGATTTTCAAGAGTCAGTTCTCCTTCCATCATGTTCCTGAGGACTGGTCGCAAGATGTCATCTCAGGCAATACTTCCTCACTTTCTGCAAGCTGTCCAGAACGTTTGTTAGATGTAGGTGGGCCTCTGGAAATTTCCATATGTGCACAGGGGACTCTGTGCCCATTTTCATCTCCCCAAGAACATCTTGATCTTTGGATTATTTCTCTGGCAATCTAGGGACATCTCATCCTAGCCAAATGAATCTTGGGCATTTGTTACATGTCAGACGGCCCATGGAAAACTCCATCTGTCCCATGTCCTAGAGAGTCTTCACCATTGAGCAGAGTGCTGAGAGAACTTTCAGTGCTTCTCCAGGTGATCCCACACTCCTTCTCTCTGCTTCTTGTCTTTTGTAACTTACAATATCTGCCAAGACTTCTCTGGGTCCTTCAAAATTTTCCACAGAAAGTCTAGATTCCTTGTCATCTTCCACTGGAGTCTTTGAAACACTCCATTATACAAAGAGGAGTCATGCCCAGTTATTACCTGTAGAAGGGAATTTGAAAACTTCTCCATGTCCAGTAGGGACTTCAATATATCAACCCTGTATTACAGAGCCCTGGGAATTACAACCTTAGAACAACAGAGTCAAGCAACTTCTCATTCTGCTCAAGCAGCTGTGGGTCCCTGCCTATCTACACAAGGGACTAAAGAAATGTCCACATCTACAAAGATGATGCTCAGATATTCTCCATCTGTCCAAGGGCTTTTAAACCCACCCTCACATACACAAGGTACAGGATCATTGTCCAATTATGTACATAGTACAGTAGCACATTCATAATCTACCCCCATGTCTCACAGATATACCTACCATGCCCAAAAGATGATAGAAACTTTGAAATCTGCCCAAAGGTCTCAAAGAATTTCTGTAAATGTACAAGGGTCTCTAGAATGTTTGCCACCACCCTGGGTGCCTCCAGGATATTCATTCTCTGCACCAGGTGCAAGAAAAAGGTCTAAGGCTACTTCAAGACATGTTGGATCTGCTAAAGTGCCTCAGGAACTTTCCATATCTACCCAGGAGGACTGAGTTCCTTACTTTCTTCCCAAAGCCTTTTGGAACATTCCTTATCCACAGAAGGGACTTTTGACTCTCCACACCTACATGAGGTACCCTAAGACTTTCTCTTTCTTGCCAGGGACCTCTTGAATCTTTGCAGGCTGGCAAAAGAGTTCAACAAGCAGCAATCTGCTTCAGACTCTTCAGAAACTATGTCTTCTTCCAAAGGTCATATGTCAATTTCTTTATCTGCACAAGAGTCTCTAGGACCTCCTATTTCTTCCCAAGGATATCTTGGATCTCTGCAGTTTTTCAAAAGGGTTCAACATACAGATCCATCTGCTTCAGACTCTTCAGGATCTATGCCTTCTTCAAAAGGACACAGGGAAATCTCTTTATCCAGACAAAGGACTCTAGAACCTACATCATCTGACTTAGGGCCTTTGGAAATTCCTTTATCTGTTCAAGTGAGTTCAGGACCTTTGTTATCCATTCAAGAGTCTGGAAGACTTTGCCTGTCTTCCAAGGAGACTCTGGAAGTTTCCACCTATATAGGTGGCAGTTTAGTAATATCCAACTCTTCACCAGGGGATTTGGGAACTTCAACAGAAGGGTGGCTGAAAATGTCTACACCTGCACAAGTGACTCTAGGACAGTTACCACCTCAGGAAGTGAAGGCAGGAAATTCGTTATTTACCTAAGGAACTCTGGGACTGTCGATATCAGCACAAAAATCTCTAGGGCATTCACCATTTGTTCACAGGGCTCTGGAAACTTCCACATCTTCCCTGGAATTGCTAGGCACTTCTAATAATCAAGTGTAGCCCGCGTGGTCGCCTCGCCAGCAAGAACGCACACAGACACCAGGATTCTTCTGCAGCAAGCGTTTATTCAGCAGTAATGAGAGGAAGACCCAGAGCCCCCAAATGGCGCTCCTTTTATACTCTAAATGGTGACATGTTGGTTCCTGATTGGATGCAGCCCATCAGGCCATCTTACATCACTAAGTGAGCTAATCTTTGGCTCGAATTCAGCTTTAGCGCATGCGCATAGGCAGTTGTTTATGATCTCACACACCGGATGCCGGCGCCATCCTGTAATGGCGTTTGCTTCAGGCTCTTTACAATCAAGGTACTATAGCACAATTCCCATCTATCCTAGGAGATGGACTCTCTTTGTCTGCCCATGGAATTGTTCCAAATTTGCCATCTTTCCAAGTTACTCAAGAGACATCATCTTCTGCCCAGGGAACTGTAGAAACTTCATCAGTTGTGCAAGGTGTTCTTCAACTTCAGCTTCATCCCCCAGGGTATCTGGGACCTTCCCAATGTACACCAAAGACATCAGGAATCCTGCCTTCTCCTCAACAGGTTTTAAAAATTTCAGGATCTTCATTGGGGTCTCTAGGAACTTTTCTATCCCTCCCAGGAACTCTGGAACTTTACATCTCTGCCCAAGGTGATGTGTGTGCCGCTCATTCTAACCAAAAGGTTCAGAGATCATCAACATCTCTCCTGGAACCTGTCCAGTCATCTCCATCTTCTCAAGGTTCACTGGAACATACTCCATTGGTACAAGGAACCTTAGGATCTTTGTTATTGGGCCAATTGTGTCTAGAATTGTACATTTCTCCTTAAGGGTCTCTATGATCTTCACCACCTCAGCAAGGATATTTAGAAGATTTGTCAGCTACCCAAGGGACTCTGGGAATTTCTCCATCTGGAACAGAGAATATAAGACATTCAAAACCTAATGAAATGTTTCCAGAAACTTCTACATTTTCCCAAGAGCATCTAGGCCCTTCTCTAGACCAAGAGGCTTTAACATGCTCATGATCTTCTCTAGGAGGTCTTGGATTTTCTCCATCTTCAAAATGTACTCTAGGAATACCACCATCTTTCCAAGATGCTTGAGAAACACCATCATTTGCCCAAGGGACTATAGAACCTTCATCATCTGCTCAGTGTTCTAGGAACTCATGCTCCTTTGGAGGGGAATCTGGGTCCTTCCCATTTTACCCTAAAGACATTAGAACCTTTACCATATTCTCAAGAGGTTTACAAATTCTATCTCATGGACTCTAGAAACTTTGGCATCTATTAAAAAGGTGCTGATATCTGCTCAATGTGCTGTAGGCCATTTCATATCTGACCAAGTGATACTGGGACCACCAACGTTGCCCCAGGAAACTCTCACCTCTTCCACATCTGACCAAGTGTCTGTGAAATCTGTTCCATTTCAAATGGGGATTTTAAGACTTTCCCTAACAGATGAAGGTTTTCAGAAAATGTCTTCAGGTGCAAAAGTGACTCTTTGAGATTCACCACTTCAGCATTCTATGGAGGAAATTCATTTTCTACAAAAGGGATCTGAGGCTGTACATCTCAGCACAAGAATCTCTTGAACATTCACTATCTGCTCAAAGGACTCCAGATACCTCCTTGTCACCCCAAGTGCCCCCAGGATCTTGTCTGAACCAAGAGGCATTAAGACTTTCATCCTCTGGTCAGGAGATCTTGAAATTTCTGAATCTTCCCAGAGGACATTAAGAACATTGCTATGTTGCCAAAGCACTCTAGAAATTTCATTTGTTACCCATGAGATGATAGAACATTAACCATCTTCCCAAGATTTTCTTGGACTGCCACCTTCTTCAGTGCAGATTCTGCAATCTTTACCACTTACTCCAGAGACATCAGAAACTTTGTCATCTACCCAAGCCAATTGTAAGACTTCAGAATCTTTTCAGGGACTCTAGAAACTTTACCATCTGATCCAAGATCTCTGGTACTTTTGAAATCTCATGAGGGTGCACTGGGCCTTTCAGTATCTGACCAAGGGATTCTGGGAACATCACCACCTCTCCAAGAAACTGTGGAACTGTGTAAATCAGCCCAAGGGCCACTAGAACCTATGCCATCTATCCAGGAGACTGTGGGAACTTCTTTTTCAATAGAATTTCTGGGACTGTCCATTTGTACACAGGGAGACTTTATTCCTATCACTCTTCATGAAGACTGCTTGGGACATTCCCCTTATTTCAAAATAAGCCCTAGACTTTCTAATTCTACCAAAGGAATATTTCTATTTCCTGAAGGGGATATCAGATATTCTCTTTCAGAACTCAATGGCTTAAAATCTATTCATTTTGCCAAAAGTAGGCTCACCATCTTCCAAGTATGTCAAAAGGGACTCAAATTCTACCTCTACTCCTCAAAGGAGTTTCTCACCCCAACATCATCAGAATTGAGTCTCAGATCCAGTACCCCTCCTAAAGAAGATCTCAGATGTTCACCCTCTCCATCTCTACTAGGTAGCTCCAGACATTCTAAGTTGAAGAAGAAAACAAGATCAAAACATGCCCCTCTAGACCAAACATGCCTTGAATCTGTACCATCAGATGAAGGCTCCAAAGTTTGCCATTGTTCCAAAAAGGGGAAAAGAGCTTTAATATCTGACAATAGGAATGCAAGGCTTAAAACTGAGCCCAATGGGAGCCTCTCCACTTCTGCTTCTGCCAAGAGAGTTTGCAGATCCTCACGATCTTATACAGAGTGCTTCAGAAGTCCTCCATCTCCTCAAGGTATCCCAAGATGGTCCAAATCTACTAAAACCAAACTGAAAAAGGCCTCCTCAGACCAAGCAGACTTTCAAGATTCCCATTCCGAATGTGAGGGCTAAAAACTATTCTCTTCATCAAAGAGAGGGCTCAGGCATTCTTCATCTGCCAAAAGGGGCCAGAAACCAAAAGAACAAGAGAGCATAGCACCTTCCATCTCTACAGAAGAGGGTGTGGGAACTACTCCCATTTATGAAGAGAACCGCAGGCATTCCACCTCTCCCCATGGGATCCCCAGACATACTACTTCTACCAGTAGAAAATCAAGGCATGGCCTTATAACCAAGAAACCATACAAGCTTCTCCTGCAGACCAAGAAGGTGTCAAGCCCTCTCCAGATGAAGACAGTCCCCATGGGGGTGTCAAACCTTGCTCATCACCCCAAGGGAATTACAGCCACCTAGATTCCATTGAAGAGGGCTTGAAACATGCACTTTGTAAGACAGAGAGAAACCCTGTGTTAAAGGGGAGCCCATGGCTCTGCTTCCTGTCCAACGGGGACTCATATATGCACCAATTCCAAAAGAGAAGGCCATATCATTCCCTGCTATCCAAGGAAAATTCAGACACACCATATCTCTAGTGGACTTGAGATCTTCTCTTTCTTACCAAGGGAGAGACACAGCCTTCCAGTATTAATATGTCCACCCACCCATGTAACCCCTCTGCCCTTGGAGGCCACAGATATACACATTTATCCCCATGCTGACTCAAAAGGATCCCACTGCAAAAAGGGAGCTGGAGTTCTAACTTCTCCCCTAAAGAAGGTATCAGACCTTCTCAGTCTGACCAACATGGCCTCATACTTTCATATTCTCACCAAAGGGACACCAGCAATGTCCCCAGTGTTCAAGGCCTCAGAATGTTTCAATCTGAAAAAGAGAGGGCCTCTTACATACCCCATCTAACAATCTGGGTCTTAAGTACACTCCTTGTGACCAAAGGAAATTCAGGTATTTTTCTTCTAATCAAGAGCACATCAGACCTTCAACTTCTGCCCTAGGAAGCCTCTTACTTACCTCTTCTGCCCAAGGAGTTATCAGAGCTTCTGAGTCGGTCAAATGAAACCTATAAAGTAGCCCATCTCAAGAGGGGAGCCTGGGCCCTGCTTTCTTTTTCCATGGCATCTTTAGATCTTCTAATCCATAAGCCAGCCTCATAATTTTCCACTCCATACCAATATGAACAACAGAGTTTAGAACTTTTCCTTTTCATCAACCATCTGCCAAACCTACCACTTTCACTTCTAGCTGACTCAGATGCACACTGAGGCATCACTAGGCCCTCTGACTAACAGCAAGGCAGGTGTTCCCTTCTGATTAAGAACTGCTCACAATTTCTACCTGGAAGAACATGTTATACCATTTACTCTCTATAAAGAATGACATGTGCTTCTTCTTACCAGTGCGGCCCTAGACCTACTTTCTCTCACCCAATCAGTGACAAAACAACTCCTTAAGCCTAAGGTGCTCTGAGTGATTCTTATTGTGAACCTCCGACCTCATGACCTCTGCCCAAAGAACAGGATACTTTGCCTAAGGTGCTGGAGCTTAATAGTAGCCAACAGAGCCTGAAACACAGGATGAATCCCTTAAACTTGGTCAGCAGAAATGAAGAAGACATGTCCTTCATGTTCAGAAGTAAGCAGCTGAATTTGTCATGCTACCTAGCTGGGAACTGTCTCCTAGCATGTTAGAGATAGATCACACCTGCCTTGCTTACATGATATGGATGTTCTAGATTCCCATGAAAATCGGATAAAGAAATGTTCAGACCTTCTCTAATCCTCAAACTGACTCTTGTTCTTTCCCTGCTACCCAAGATACTTTTTGAACTTTCTGCTTTCCCCAACAGTAGGAGACATTCTGCCTGTGAGGAATGCTGTCCTCAAATTCTCCTGTTTGTCTGTGGATGCCTCAAACATTCTCATTCTATCTACGGGTTCTCCAAACTGTGTATCTGATAAAGATGACTCATAGTTATGCCTTCACAACCAGGAGGGCTTTCACTTTTTCAAACACCTGAAGAGAAGCTCAAATCATTCTGAAAGGCTCAAGGGGCTTCCATGCATATGCCTTCTAAAAACCAGGAGGCCAAATGTACTTCCCTAATTCTCAAGCATTTTTCAGACTCACTTCAGGTTCACTTCAGAACCACAGGTCATCCAAACTACTGTGTGGACCAAGGGGTCTTCTAGTCTGTCTCTTCAGAATCAGAAACCCTCAGATCTTACCCAATAAATCAAGTGCCTTCAGTTTTATCTGTCTATAATCAATGTGTCTCACAGCATTCACCAATAAGTCAAGGGTTTTTTAAGTCTATGTGCTTAACATCAAGGGCTTCAGATGTTCCACCAGGTTCAACTGGAAATTAACACATATTTCCATTGAAAACCAGGAAACCTCAGACATATACAGGACTCAGACTTACCTGTACAGAACCAGGGTATCTCACACATCCTCAGTGAATGAAGGGGTCCTGACACATATGACTTGAGAATCAAGGAGCCTCAGACCTCACCAGTGTCCCAAGAAGATCACAGTTATATGTTTTTTAAAACCAATGAGCAGCAGAATTTCTGCAAAGTCACAATGTGGCTTGAGATTTATCTTCTAGAACAAGGACAATTTACAGCCCCAGATAGTAACTCCATCAAGCTTTAGATATGCCACCTCAGAACTACACTAACCCCTGACTTCAAGGGGATTGACACCCTCCTGGAACATCTTCTGAAGAGGAATGTAAACTTGTTTTCTCTAACCACAATAGCCCCTGGCTTTAATGCTATGCCAAAGCCAAGGAGGGTGACCATATAGGGATGCTGCTAAAATGTACCTTCCTTGAACAATAAGTCTTTAGTCTTCTTCTGTCTCTACTGGAGGAGCCATGGTCCTATGACTGAAGCAAGAAACAGAACTGACCCTGTGACTGATGGTTATGTCTCAGATACTGAGGCTTTCCTGAAGGTTCCTTGAGACTGATTCCTTGTGGCAAAGAAAACATGATCTCTTTTTGTTCATGGCCAACTCAGGTTTATCATCCAACTAAGAGATACCAGAGCTTCTCCCTCAGACACTATTGGGTAGGAAATTCTCTTTTGCAACTGAAGAAACCTTAGAAAACTATGGATTCATGTTTCATGGCCAATGAATAAAAACCTCTGGCTGGGTCCAAAGCCATCTATCTTTAAGCTGCTCGCCAGAAAGGTACCTTCCTCTATGTATACTCATAGGCAGCTTATCATAAGTTTAAGTAGGGAACATAACCTGGGATTATGATTCAGTCTGTCAGAAGAACCCTCATATTGCTGTCAAGCCTTCAGTGGGTTACCAAGAGACAAGGATTTTCTTAAGTTCTCTGAAGACATGGAGGCATGGGGTACCTGGACCTTTCTCTTCTGCAGAAGGTAAACAGGGATATTCCCCTTCTGCCTAGTCATGTCATTGATCCTTCTCTTTTCGAAAACCTTGGCATTTTTTTCCTATGATATTTGGGACCTTAAAACTTACCCTTTGACCCAATGGGCCCTCAGAATATTCCCCTCTGAGCAAGAGCATAGGGAATATTTCACCTCTGACCAAGGAGCACTGGTTCCTCTGGTTAGAGTTCATAGAACTCAAAAGTAGCAAGCAAATTCTGGATCTTCATGCCACTGCCTAGAATAAAGTCACCAGGTGTGGTGTAAAATTATTGGTCCAGCTCAATCTGATTATTTGAACACAATTCTTAAGAGACAATCATTCTGGAACACCCACTGAAGCTGTTCATAAAATCTGGTATTGATGCTTGGTCTTTTGCAGATTCAGCTGAAAACATGCATTTCCTAGACTGTGAAGAATTAGAAGTTGAGGCCATGCTAAGTCCTCACTAGGTATGGTAGGCAAATTAATTTTGTTCAGATTAGTATGGATTTTTCACACTGTGATCATATCTTCCCCTGGTAAATGGACCTTAGAACCTCCTCACTTCCCATAGTATTCACTCCTTCTACCTTTGGTTAAGGAGGCATCTTATATTCCTACTAAAGCAAAGATCATTCCACTTTGTCTAAAGTAGGCTTAAATTTTCATTATGTGAGAGAAGGCACATAATACTTCTGATATTATGGAGTGAGTCTTAGACGTTTTTCTTAATAAATGGTTCTAAGAAGTGTCCTTCAGCCCAAGGTGAACTTCAGGTTCAATAATGATGCAGTTAAATTTGAACACAGGAGACTTTCCAGAGACTCATACTCCAACCAAGTACCATGCACAGATGTAGCCCATGGCAGTTCAGTGTCCAAGTGGGTTCCATAGTAATGGGAAGAGGAACTGTCTCTGACTTGAACTGATTGGCTTGTTCTTTGATCACCTCCCCCTGAGGGGGGGAGCAGCCTTACCAGGCCACAGAAGATGACAATGCAGCCACTCCTGATGAGATCAGATAGACTAAGATCAAAAGGAAGGAGAGAGGGACCTCCCCTATCAGAGGACTTGGACAGGGGCATACGTGAAGAAGGTGGAGGGAAGGTAGGATTACGAGGGTAGGAGGGAGGGGCCTATAGGGAGATACAAAGTAAATAAAGTGTAATTAATAAAAGTTAAATAAATGATGCAGTTAAGAAACTGACATGTATAGTCTGTCAAGGAAGATGGCTATACTCTATTTTCTTTGAACAAAGGAACTCTATACATACCCTTTCACATCAGGGGTCTTGATACAAACTCTTCTGATTAAGAGTGCTACAGACAAGGCAACTAACATGAAAACTCACTCAGATGTTCATCTTTTTCTCAATGAAATGTTAATGTTAAATCAACATACCCTGGCAATGGTTTCCTCAGAGAATCTACTTCCATCCTAGAAACCTAATTTCTTTTCCACTAGTTTGTCTTAATATTTCCCTTCTGACTTTCATGGCCAGGCATGCCCAAATGACCAAAGGGAGGGCAGACCACACTGAACTGAAGTCCTGTAACATGACAATAAAACTCTGATCCCTGAACTAAAACATTCTACCTTTAAGATTTTCACAAGAAATGGAGCAGTCCTATCTTTGTTGCCCATGCCTATGTTGCTGATG